GCGAGAGATCTTTTTACTTCACAGCATCACGTGTGTCTATCACACACCCTTAGAGCTTACAGGTCCTTCATGCTTGTAGATCCCTCACCGTTGTCTGCTAGTTTCACATTTTGATTTTATGAAAATCTATATCCTGGTTATAGAACAGAATTAAAATGCTTGTGTATTGTTCAAATGAAATATTGTTTGATAGCATACGTTGACCTCAATAGCGCTTTGTTTGTAAAAATAAAAGCAGAATCTCCAAATAGTCCTGTGTTCTTCAACTGAAGATAAATATCTGCTTATATGCCCCTCAACTGCAGTGAGTAAACGAAAATTGAAAGCTGTATTACGCATTTAATTTTATACTTTTCCATATATATTTTTAATATATTTTATTTATATTAATGTGTATATATTTATACTCAGAGTAATACTTTTTTGTATTACTCGGAGCTTCTCTGGACTTTTATTGCAACTTTTCTGAATTATCCCACAAAACTTTATGAAAAAAAGTAATAAATTTCTAGTGGTTCCTGTTCAACTGTGTAACCTAAATTTCTGCTCTCAGAGTATTTTCTGCATATGAATGAGCTTTCAAGTGACTGGTAAACCTATTCTAAGTCCTCATTTGAATAAAGAGCAGCCTACATGTTTGAACAAGCGTAGTGTGCATGTGTTCTATACGTTAAAGAAATTAGATATGTAAAAACCTTCACACGACGCATGTTCCAACTACATGCATAAAATACACCTTGTATATATAAAATATTTATATGTGTATATATATTCTTTTTACAAATGGACATGCTCGTCAACTGATTAAGGTCAAAATCTCCATCTAATCAGGCTCTCTGATTCCTTAGCCCACACAAGGAGTCAGTGTCAGACCAGATGTAGAATTTTTTTTTTAAACTTTTAGTGATTTTTTTTTTTTTTTAACTTTTACGTTGCCTTTCAGAGAACAATGCGAGGAGCTTCGTGTACAGCAGATGAAGAAGCACCAGAAGGAATTGTGTGAAGACCGGCTGGCCCAGCTAGCTCTGAAGGAGGAATTGAAAAAGCAACAGAAGAAGGAGGAGCAGGTGTTTGCAGAGCTTTGGAGAGAGGATATGTTGGCTAAGGAAAAGCGAGAGGCGGTGGAGGTGCAGAAATCAGCAGAACAGAATCGAGAAATCCTGAACATGCTCAGTGCCCAGGTAGCGGTGCTCAGTGCTCGCAAAGAGGAGGCAAAGAGGCTGAAGGAAGAAGAGGCTCGATTGCTGGTAATTTCCATATCATTTTCAATTCAGGGTTGGGTATAAGGCCCTCCTAATGATAGGCTTACTAGACATTTAGATTAATCCATACCTTATTTGTATCTTCACTGATTCCATTAGTATCTGAGACCGTCCCGTTACGCTAAGCCTCTTTTCCAGAGCTGTGGCAAATGCGTTCCTGTTTGCAGAGGGAAATACATCTTTCGCAACTTAGCATGGTAAAGGATTTTGGCATTCAAAGCCTCTCAGAGCCTTCCTGGGAAATGAAAATGTTTTTAAGCTTTTGCCAGACGTCTTTGCAATTTTCTGATTTCCAGTTTCCTGCGGGATACCTAGAGAGTCTTGTGTCCCAGCAGTAACGTGTAACACCAGATCTCAGACCATGATACTTACGTTTAATCATCATGGTAAGTGCACTGAGAGGAAGCAGCAAGAGGGAGGGAGCTCCCAGAAGGGAAGGCGAGCCAGGAGCCGAAGGTGACAGCAGGGCAGGCAAGTACACTGTCCTCCCCAGTGAGAGTCCCACACTACCCAAAGGAACGGGGCAGAGCAGGGTCCGCTGACAGTAACCGGGGTCACCTAACAGTCCAAACTGCTCGGCAGGTCTGTAGCGATGAAGTTCAAGATGAAGGCAGCAAGTTAAGCCAGCAGGTCTGGATCAGGATCGACCTCAGGCACAGGCGTACCTGCAGCATAGCTCACGTAGGCACCAAGGGTGAGAGGCTGAGCCTAACTTCAGCTCCCAAGTGACTCCGCTCGGTCGGCCCTTTCTCACACCGCTCTTTCCCAGATCTCCGATCCAAGGCTTGCGTCGGGGCTGGCTGCAAGCACAGGCAGCCAAGCCCCTGTGGGGAGGTTGCAGAGCCTGTTGGTGCACTCAGGACCCTGGCACATACATGAGGAGACACATTTCTATGAAAAATTCCAACTGCTTATGCCCCAGCTGACTGAATTTCAGAATCTACAGCCTTTTTTTTTCCCCCCAACAAATTAGCTTGTGGTGCCTAAGCTCTCTCACCTATTAGTGCTGGCTGCCACTGGGCATCACATTGCAGGAGGCCATTTGGTTACCTTGGTCCAACTGTTTGGCCACCACCCTCTTTTTTTTCCTCCTCTGTCCCCAGTGTAGGCTTGCTGTAGCTGTGCTGGCTTTCATGGGGCTTGCCTAGTTCACAGTATTCTGTGTTGACTTTGTGAGTTATGGGAAACTGTTTAGTTCAGACTCAGTCTTCATTTTGCAGCTATTTATGTGTAGCGATTGAACGGTCACTCAGGGTACTCCGTTAGGCACTGGAAGCTGATGTTGGCAAGATATATACTCCACTACTTTTTAAAAATAATGACAATAATGAATCTAAAGCTCTGAAAATCCTGGCTGTAAAACAGTGGAGTCCTTATTCCAAGCTAGACGGTAATGTTTCACTTATTTAAAAACATGCAGAATAAAATCAGTTTTTTCTAACAACTCTTAAGGCACTGCCAAACCTCCCAGGCAAAGAACACTTCTGCTTAACCGGCCTGTTCAGAAAAAAGCTATTAGAATAGAAGACTGTGTAGCTTCCCCTGAAGACAGCTGCCTTGGGCTCTGTCAAGGAGGTAAATTTCTGGTAAACTGGTTTAGTGTCTGAAAAAAAAAAAAAGCTTTCTTCAAAGGGTCCATAAAGGAGAGTTTCTGTATTGAAAATGGGACATAATCCTTTTTCGGCAGAAGAGGGATGTGACAGATGGCCTCATTACAGGTTTTTCAGTGCAGAATTGGTAGCCTATAATGACCAGGGGTTTCATCTGGGTGAAGGACACACTATGGATGGCGAAGTGTCTCTGTATAATGGTTCCTTCTGGTTGTTGCAATGGAAATAGATCATTTAGGGAAGCAAAACTTGAACCTTTGCCACGATAGACCATATGTGGGCATCAAGATATCTCGGGCTGGGTGACAAAAGAGACAGCAACTTTTGCATTTGCTTTTTCATTAGCTGTTACCTACGTTAGCTGCCTTCCTCCTCCTCTGTCTTTTCTCTCCCTTATAGAATTGTGGTATCTTGAGGTGGTGGAAATCACATTCTGGCTGTAGTCTGGCAAGTGCTAGATGAGTTTCTGCAGTAGCACTTTGGTCCTGGCTTGCAGGTGGATGGTTGGTAACAATTTCTTTGTACGTTTGCGATGTTGTGTTACCCCATCATAGCAACTTTCACGGGGTAAGCGCCACAGATCCCATCCTTGGCTACTCTCATGCAACTTCACGGACGTCAGAATTCAGCCTAAGGCATGTGCCAGCTTGCCCAGTAGACTGCTATTTCCACCTTTTTTTCCTTCTTTATTGTTCAAAGGGGGTTTTTGATTACTCGGTGGTTCAAATAACAGATGCTGAGTTTCAGAGCTGTTTTACCAGCTTCTGAAAGTGAATTTGGCCGTTCAGGAAGATAGCAAAGGCAGCTTTGGCTTTCAAACACTGGAAGAGTCAGCGGGCGCTTTACGTCCTGCATAATGTTATGTTCCTTAGGAGGTGCAGCTTGTACTTCCTATGGGGAAGATTAGACACATTGTTTATGGCAAACCTGCTGATGCATGCTAGAATGTTTATTGACATTACAAAAGAGACATTTAATTTAAAAACAGGTTAACAAAACCCTGTGCCTTCAGGACAGCTGTGGCATTGTTTCTGAGACCTGTAGATAAGCTAATGATGGCCATATATTGTTTTACAACTGTGAGTGCTTGTAAACTTATTCAAATGCAGGACGTTCAGGAATTATGCGATTTACTTTATTGATGCTGCTTTGGGATTTTTTTTTCTTTTGGCTAAATAATCTTGAATATACATATACCTGTTTGAGCTTGAATATACGTTTGCTATTTTTCATTGTTCCTTTCTTAAGAACTCCGTGTTGCTGTCCATTTTCCTGTTCTTTCCAATTTAAAGCAGAATGGTTTGAAGCCACGGAAATTCAGTAACTGCCCATCAGAATAGAAGGATATAATTACTTTGTGCAATCTTATGTCAACTAGAGATGCAGTGCTCTGAACATCAGCGCAGGCACAGGACAGATAATGTATGCAGAAACAGGAGGAACACGTGGCTCTCTTGTGGGTTAGTGGTTACGGCTGCGTGTGAAGGCTTGGATGTAGATCTTAGGTGCTGCAATGGTATCGATTTCTCTAAAGAGACGACTCTGTCTATCCACTTGAAAGATCCGGAGTACATCAGGCATTCCAGTGTTTTGGTATTGAAGTGTATGTGATAATTAAAGAGAAAAATCCTGAATTCTAATGAATGATACGCTAAAACGCTCATGCTTTAACAGGTCTAATGGATGACATTAATTCTCTAATGTCAGCAAGTAAGGCTTTAAATATTTATCTTTACTCTTCAGTGTTCCAATTAAACCAATTCTAGCCATCATTTAAATTGAAGTTATGCAATGATTTTACAAGCTGGCTATTTTTACCTTTGTAGGAAGAACAGCAGCAACTGCTTAAGGTAGAAAATGAACAACTTCAGCTGAAGAAACTACAGAAACAAGAAGAATCGTCTTAATGAAGAAAAACAAGGTGAACTTGCCCTAGAGATGAAGATCTTGGAAAAATCTCTTCAGGAACCCCAGGAAGACGCTGAGGAGAAAACAAAAAGAAAAGTAAGGGCTAAAGGTGTTCATTGTGAAGTTGTGGGGCAATACCTCATCTAGACTAATTTTGTGGCCCTCAGTGAACTGCACAGCATAAATGAGATCAGACACAAGCCCTTTTCTCTGAACAAGTTGATTCTTTTGTGGTATAGCCTGTTGCTTCTCCTCCTGCCAGCGCTCGGCTTCTCTGAAGAAGCCCATTAACTGTTAAAACCACAGCAAGTACTTTAAAGCATGCTCTGCAATCAGCACGGCTACCAGGCTAGGCAAAAGAAGGGGGCTCTCAGGAAACCTTGTCCCTCTGTGCTGATTCCATTGTGTATAAATCACCTGAGCTTTTTCATCCTTATATTGCCTGGAAGTAATGGAGGTTAGAAAAATATTTTTTGTTTCATGGACCTGATCTATCAAATATTTGCAACTGCAGAGGAAAGTAAATATTTAACTTATTCTAATTCATTAACGCCAAGAAAGAGTTTTAAATCTTTAGTAGCTGGCTATTTAGGTGCTAAACTTCACATTAAATATCTTGGTGATGCCATGGAACCATGTGTCTGTCACTTCCTAAATTTAAAACAAGTAGATTGTCCAACTTCAGGGTGAAAAGGAGTCTCAAGGTAACTTTAAGACAGAGCAGAGAGCTGCATTTGTTACTCTGCTCAAGGTATTTAGAACCTCATATAGGTTAGGAAAGCTGTATAAGCTGTTAGACCTTGGCACAAGATTAGAGGAGGTGATATTTATTATTATTTATTATTATTAAATTTATAGATCCCAAGGCTTCTGGTGAGGGTGGAGTAGCCTGGTCAGCTGTGGAAAGGCTTTGTAAAATGTCTGTGTTGTAGGCAGCCGAGCTGCTATGGGGGAAGGGATCACTCTGTGTTTGTTCTGCCCTTAAGCTGTTGTCCAGGCACTGTTGACTGGCCAGGAAGAAGATTCAGCACGGCTTTTTCCCGTGGCAGGGTTTGGGATGGAGCCTGAGACTCCCAGTTCTCACATTGTCTGCAAACCACCACTTCTCTTCATGTTTTGAAAGGCTTTTTTGAACTCATTTACTCAGATCTGCAAATGTCTGTATGTTTGCAGCAAGAGCTGCTAAAGGAGCAACAGACTTACCTGGCACACCTGGCTCAACAGCAGGAGGAGGAGAAACAGCGAGAAAAAGAAGGGGATGAGCTCCTCAAGGAAGAGATGGCAAAGGTTTGGGCCAAGAAGGCTGAGCAAATGCAATTAGAAAAGGAGGCTAGAAAGCAGCTACTGAAAGACGTCCTGGATACAAGACAACTGCAGATGGAGGAGAAGTGTAAGTAATAACAGCTCGCTGTCTGCACACCAAACCGACCGCATGAAAGCAAGTCTTGGCAAAGGCAGAGGGAGTAGAACACGCTGCTTTTGAGAAGACCATCTGGCCCAGCGTGCACAGGCACGCTGGTTGAGTGGACAACAATGCTACTGTCTCTGAATCCACTTCTGAAGCTGTACTCCTACAGGCATTCCTTACGCTAATTTCCCATTGCTATTGCCAGAGCAAAGCCTAGTAAAGTAAGGGTTGTATGAGCAAGCAATCATTATTCTTAATGATATGATGATGATGATGAAGTTCTGAATGTGACATCTTTTCTGTTCTGAGTGGATGAAAAATAAATAAGCTGAGAATGCACTTGGCGATTGTTTGTGTGCCTCTTCAGAAGCAACAAAATTCAGGCTTGCTATCCAGGCTACTTGGCTTGAACTTATTCTTAATGATATGATGATGATGATGAAGTTCTGAATGTGACATCTTTTCTGTTCTGAGTGCATGAAAAATAAATAAGCTGAGAATGCACTTGGCAATTGTTTGTGTGCCTCTTCAGAAGCAACAAAACTCAGGCTTGCTATCCAGGCTACTTGGCTTGAACACAGTCTCACTGTCCCTTCAAGCTTAGCAGTGCTGTTATCTTCTAAAACGTTGTTGGTTTTTTTTCTTTTTTTTGCAGTGCAGAGAAATGCAAAGGAGCAGGAAGAACTGGCTCGAGAGAGGGAGTCACTAGCTGAAGCAATCGCAGAACTCAAGCATATAGAAGAAGAAAAATATGCAAGGTAATTTTCTTTGATGCCATCGGTTCATTTAATTACAGATCAATCTTTTAAACTTTTGAGTTTAAATTCTCATTTTCAGATAACTGAGCACTGGGTGGGCTTTCTTCTGGTCAGAGAGGCTCTGCTCCACACTGCTCAAGAGCAGCTCTGTTATATTGCAGGCGGTATTAAATGACTAATTCTGATCTCATCATAGAAATAATGATATTTCATTACATATCCCTTGTTTTGGTCTTTTTGGACCATCGTGTGCCTTACCTCCATCATGTTTATTAAATACATCCCCTTGTACTCTGAGCTGTTGTTAGGAGTGGCAGAGGTTTGGGGAGGAGGTTTAATGAAAGGTTAGTTTGTTACTTACCTTGGAGAGTTAGTGTGCTGAGGCTTACTGCTAAACTCCACCCACACACATCCCTGAAACAATCATGAAGTCAGCCACCAAAATACCAGACTACCGCACGTAATGCAGCCGCACAGGGTTCTCTTCACCTTACAGTTCCTCAGGGTGAGCACAGAGTTACACGCAGTAGCTGAAATGTTCCTCTGGGTGTCATGCGAAGCCTACATAGGGCAAAGGGCTTTATTTCACTTAATTTCCTTTTTGTACTTCGGCCCTTTCTCCACACTTGTCCGTGGGAGGTAACTGAGTAGCTCCTTCCAGAGCCGGTATCTGTTGTGTTCTCTGATGGCTTTATCGGTAACAATCGCCTGGATGTTACAGAAATCTCACCCTTCTGAGGGAAACATGCCGGGCTTCATTTTGGATAAGCTTCACTTAGCAAAGATGGCATTCAGTGGCGTCGTCGGTAAGCGCTGTGTGGTTCAACTGCGTTGCGTTAGCACGCAAGTCTTGACGAGACTGTTGGCATTTTAAGTGCCTGAACGCGTAGGTAGACTTCCGCTGCCGCTCCAGAGGGTAGCGAAAGTGATACAGGAGTCTCGAGGTAGAATGGAAGAATGATTTCATCCGACAGCCATTTCCTAGGATATTAGTACCGCACCGCAGCCGGAGCCTGCACCCTGCCTTGCCCGTTGGCAGTAACTTGTTATCTTCAGAACAAGGGAGCGGAGGTGGGCTGTGAGGCCGCTGCAGCAATGAGCCGGAGCGAGCAAAGGACTGAGACCTGACATGCTCATTCTGTCCTCTCACTGCCCCCGTGAGGGGCTGGGAGGGCGTGCTGATTACAAGGGGCTGTTCTTGCTCTTTTTTTTTTCTTGTTAAGCACCAATTTTGCAATCCGCTTTATAAACATACAACAGAACGCAATTCTTTCTCTGAGGAACGTAAGGTTAGCATGTAGCGTTTGGTTAATAGAGTGGTAGTTATTCTTAACCCCTAAAAGGAGTTTTGAACGGTTCTTTGGTCCAAGGTTGAATGCTAAGAGATTAAATAATAATAAGGAAAAAAATAGTTTATATTTTTACCCACAATTCATAAATAAGCTATTCGTATGTCATTTCCAGAAAAGTAAAGGAAGCAAAAGAATACCAAGAGCAACTCAGGGCTCAGATTGCCTATCAACAACAGGCCCGTGATGCTGAGGAAGAAGAGAAGCGGCGAGAATATGAATCGGATCTAGCGGCAGAGAGAGCTTACCAAGAAAGGGTACAGGACCTTCTATTGAGACCTTGTGAGAAATTAGCAAAGACCCACCCTTTGAGAAGAAAACTAAAGCCTAACACTCAAGAAAATAATATACGATAATTTTTTTAGCTCACTTGGTTGCCTTAAAATAACATTTTCTAAGGATGTTCATAACTGACTCAAGTTAGCAGACCCCTCTCTGCTGTGATGCTCAAAATATTTAACTGGCAAATACAAGAAACACGGTATTTTTAAAGGTTATTTTTTCCCTATTGGATTTTCTTTGACAAAATGACTGATCCAAATGAAAACGTGTGACATTTCAATGCAAGAATATTGTATGTTCTCTGCAGTATAATAGTGTATTATTATGACATGGGTGATATGCAGGCATTCTTTAAAATCTGCAAAAACTTTGTAGAAGAGTCGCAGCAAACTTATTAAAATGCCTTTCGAACTGCAAATATTTGCAAAACCTTTTTTTTGTGTTTAGACAAAAAGTACTTGGTGACTCATCTTCATTTTCCTTGTTAAATATAAAACGACGGCTCTGTTTTACTATGGGCTATAGGCAGTAAAGAGCTGATATTGCTTTGCATATCTTCTGATAGCTGTTGAATGATCTGTGGAATCTGAGAGTCCCAAAGCTTCTCTGCGAGACCTCTGCTTGGACAGATTTAATTCTGCAGGACTGAAGTTAGCATTTTCTTGCAAAAAGGGTTATTATTTATCATTTTGATGGCAACTCTGCCTCTTTGGACTGCCTTGGATTGCCACCAATGCACAGAATGGGGAGGGGGCTGCAGAGCACCAACAGAACAACACAAAAAATGGCCAGATGTCATCAGAAAGGTCTCAGACAGGAGTTGGCAGCGGGGAGAGGGGACACCTTCTTGCTCAGCTCCCCATGTTAATGGCCAGATTGTCCTTTATGCAGGAGTGGGTGACCCAAGGAGCACTCCAGGTTCTCCCCATGGCATTGCCCTCAGCCAGCTCCCTGGTAGGTATTTCATTAGTTTTTCCCTCTGTGCTTTTCAGAGGAGGGAAGTGAAGAATCCATTTGCAACCTCATATCCTTTCTTCCTCATAGACTTCGTGGCATTTCAAAATGTTTTATCTTGTTTCTCACATTTTACCATTTGAGCCTTTGCTGCTGCTCATCTGCAGATGTTTCTCTCTTTCTTCAGCTTCTACCATCTTTCCTCCAGCCCTTGCTTTTCCACCCTTTTCTTCTCCAACTTCCATCCCTCACTAAGCACTTCTACCTTCTTCCTCCTCCCTACCTGCCCCTTTCAGTGTTTGGCTCCCTGTTGGAGATTACCAGGTTTTTGTCACGTGGCAGCGTGAACGGATGCACAGAGAAGCTGATAAATGGCTGGGACCAGAGCCCAGGAGTCCCAGCTCCCAGATTTTTTGGAATGAATCGGGAATAAAACTGATTGCATGGTTGCCTCATCTTGGTTTAAAGCAGACGCCAAGTTGACAAAACGCTTTTTGTCTGTGGAGAAAGCCGTACAGCTGTTTGTAGAAGGCCAGGTAGAGGTGTATTCACCTGAAACGGTATCGGTGATCTTAGCAGAGAAACCCAGCTGATTGTGCGTGTAAACGGTGGAAGAACCTGGCCCTAAGATGCTGCCCGGCTGAGGGGCACAGCACCAAGTCTGGTGGGGATTTCTCCTTGCATACGGACACAACTTCTCTGAGAGCAGCTTCCGGAGACAGCAGATGGAAGAGGGACAAGTTTATACCATCCAGGCAGAGCAGAGCGGAGCCTCTGCATGTCTTGTTCCTTGAATCGCTTGTATCCAAACAGCATCTGTCTCCTACAGACGTCGAGAAAGTAAATGTTCATAAATGCGAAGACGTTGCAAACTGGGAGAGGGTGGGTTGTTGGCTGAAACGTCTAGCCCTCAGTGAGTTTCAGTAGCCATCTCTGAAGCTGTACAGAGGACTTCAGAGCTGCTCCTCCTATTTTGCAGGTGGGAAAGGCCATCCCAGATAATGGAAGTAGGTCCATCAGTCCAGAAAGCTCATAGGTCTCTGCTCTCACCGCTGGGTCAAAATGGCAGAATGATTAAGAGATTAATTTCCTGGTCTGCCACACGCTCCTGGTGCGGCCCTGCACAAGCAAGGTAGATTCTTCTTCGCTACTGTGACCCCTCTTTGAAAAACGAACATAATAGCACATTCAGAATTCCAAGATTAATTAAAACCTATTATTAAAGGCTGTGACACTGTCGTTGTGTACACCCAATATGAGAGAGAAAAAAAAATACCACATTGGTGAGCTTGGTGAATTTGAGCCATTCAGAATCATAATAAATCTCTTTTTAATAAAATGATAACTCAGAAGAGGTGGGCAGAGCTATCAAGCATTTATAAAGTGTCCCTGCTCCTGGAGGCGCAATTCCTTTGCAATGAATGTGAAGTCTGCAGTCTGCTCCCCATAGCAGTGGGAGCACCTTCGGGGCCGGGGGCTCGCTGGAAAGCTACATCCAGCTTTGGACAGAATCAGTTTTATTTGCAGGAAAATCCTTCTTTGTTAATTATTCATTGCTTTAACACCTTGATTAATTTTTTGTTAACACAGGTAGGAACTCTTGCTGCAGAAACAGCCAGTGCAACCATGCCCAGGGTACAGTGACGCTGCAGCCCCAGCCAGACCTGAGAATTGTGCCTGGACGTAGCACGTGGTGACTTCTGCAAAGCCCAGGAGGAGAAAGGCCAACTTCAAGGTCTTTGGGACAATTCTGCGTGCAAAAATTCAGGACCTGGGGTTGTATTTAGCAACACCAACTCTGTCCCGATGACATTTGGAGCTGTCAGAACTGATGCTCTATATTTTCGCATTACCTGCTACCGTCCCCTGCAGAGGCGGTGTCACGTACGAGAGACATCCAGCGAAAGCACAAACCTTTCCCTGCAAACCTTAATACACACGCAGAGAGTTTAAAGTGCTTTGAACTGTGCAGGTATTACCCCTAATTTTGAGGAATAAGGTTGACGCAGCTCTCATTTTACCCCTGGCCACCTGCGCTCTCAGCAGTAGATCCTGCTCCGAAGTATTTCCACGGAGGATTTCAGGATGGGGTTATTGGTGTTAACATACATTGAAATTCAAGGCTGTAACTGTAGTTTGGGGGAATTTGCTGCAGAAATGCTGGTTTCTCCTGCCCGCCTGAATTCAACGGCAAACTCGCCTTTGCTCCTCTACCTAAATAAAATCCCAAAGACGATGCAGAATGAGGGGGTGCCTGTTGCAGAGTGGACAACTCTGCTCCTACCTCCAGCGCCAGCACTCTGCCTGCCTCGCTGAGCCCTCCGGAGCCCCTCGCCGCTCCGTGCCATCACCCGTCCGTCCATCCGTCTGTCCTCGAGGTCTCCGTCTGTCATTGCAACACAGGGACAAGGCTGGGACCTGTGAGCGTCCTGGGGAGCACGCACATCTCTGACACCCGTCCTGTACTCTTAAGGAAGCCACTGGCTCTGCTTAGAGGGGGAAAAAAACCTGGTATTTGGTTCATTTTCACCTCTAAGTGCCTTCCACACGAATGCAAGAGGGGGTACCATAAAATTCTATTTAAGATCCAGTGCTCATTAAATATTATGATCGACACAAGTTTTGATTCCTGGAAATGGGAAAGAAGTTTCTGTCTCCTGAAGGAGACAACTTCCAGCAACTCAGCACTTAGGACGCACGTCAGGGATTTTGTATGTATTTTGGGGGTTTTATTTTCTAAGTTTAATTAAAGTTTTAGATTACGATAAATTTGATGGAAAATCACACGCGGTACCAGCTGGTATTTCATGGGAGCGGCTGTGCTTTGCCTCTGGGCTATCGCTGCTACCCAGGCTTCGCTGAAATCTTTGCTCCTGATTGCGCCGGTGCTTCACGCTTTGTTTCTACAGTTGATTTAATAAAAGGAGAGGAGCAAGTTTTGTTTGCCCAACAAAGCTATCTCGGAGGCTTTGCAGAGATTATGTTGCCAAATATGTTACCCAGGGTGATTTTTAGACAGGGTGCAGGTTTTCCTTCCCTTCTTTGCTCCTTCCCAAACTTCCCCCAGAGCCACCTGCAATTTATTTGGATTCACCAAGGACAGCAGAGCTGGAAAAGGAGAGATACCTGCGATGCTGGCTGTCTTCCCACCACATCGGCGCTGCTCCTTGCCAGGCTCTGGAGTGCCTAAGGCGAAAAAATGCCACAGGGGGGAGTTTCACCCCTCAAGGGGTGAGGAGCAGGGGGTGAGATGCCACCAGTGACTGCTTTAAAGAAAGGCTGTGGGTGCCTGGTGAGCGGCACAGCCCAAAACCGCGGGAGGAGGCATCCCCACTAACGGAGTAAACAACTGTGGCAGAGAATAAGCCCCGCTGAGCGCATTTTCTGCCTGCTTAGTTAATATGCAAAATACCTTGACTGATAATAAATTGCAATAGTGATTAATTAGGAATACTTCGCATTTGCATCCTCCTTCCCAGGCTCAAAAAGTGCCTTATCAGCGTGAATTGGAAGCACGGGGTGCTCCCGCGGGATGGAGGGCCATGGCCCGACAGGCTGGGGACAATTTTTTGGCTGTTTCTGCCCAAGAAACAATTCTTGACGTGGGTGTAGGACGTCGGAGCGACTCGCAAGGAGCACCCAGGAGCGTGGGGAACCCAAACCCACCTCCAGGCAGGAGACAAGGGAAAAACCTGTCCCTGGTGCGTTCCTTGAATGCATTTCCAGTGGGTTCGTGTGGGCAACGCTGCTCGTCCCAGGCGCGGGACACCCCCCTCACGCCACTCATGGCACCCCGATATGCGGGTGATCCCCAGCGGCCTAGGGGCTGGTGGGGACGGCAGAGCCTGGAACCAGGCAGGGGCGCCCACCTGGGGCTTCGTTACGAGTCTTCTGTGGGCAAGGAGGAAGGCTAGAAGAAGAAAAGGGGAAGAAAACTAAAAAAAAAGACCCCCAACCCCAAGAAGAAAAAGGGCGTTTCAGCGCCTCAGGTGAGGGAAGCGAGGCGGCCCCCCCGCTCCCGCGCTGCCGGGAGGCCCCTG